TTTAAAATTGTAAATTAAAAACTCAGTTAAATTTTTTTATTTTACGTGGATCTTTCTAAATCTTATTGAAAATTATCACAACTATGTGTGATTCATTAACACTATTTATCATTGTTAGATAGGAAATAATTATTCTTTCTTGTGTAAACAAATATATTAAATATATTTATTAACCTTTTAAATATGACAACATATATATACCTGTCCTTTTTGTAAAAACTTGTTTGCATAAAATTTGCCATTAGCAAGAATGACTCTCTAAATTTGCAATTATTATGTGCAAATATTTGTGAATCGGTTTTTCATAGGTGGTATCTGTTATCATAGATATTATATCACAAGTAGTTCGTTCGTTCTTGCGTTTAATTATTTCCATCGATATATCTCTCCACATGAGTAAAGAGTATCGCAAATCATTGCGTCTCCCTTGTGTGCGATCCTTAATCAAGAACAACGGACCAACGAGAGCGTATATGCACATAGAAGAACGGAATTCGATTGAATTCGACGAAACACGACGTTCTCGTGCACAAATCAAATCTGTGAAGGAAATCACGCGTGCGAAGACGCTGCGCGCCGTTGGGCGGAGGGTGGAAATGTAACACGGGTTTCAATAAGGAGAGTCAGGGAGGTATCCGTTAATCCGCATGGCTTAATGCAAGGACTTGGAAGAATGCGGGAACCTGGTATACAACGTCGAAAGGCAGTGGGACTCGCTTTCCCGCTGACCATTGGGGGGTAATTATCGCAGCCCCGCGGGGGAAAGCTCTCTCACGCTCATATCCCTTCCGGCCAGCTAGCCAGAGGAGGCTCTCGCGAGCACGTCAATCCCCCAACCTTCCCCTTCAAAGGACCTTCGGTATCGCGTCGCGTTGTGCATACGCCGTGCCACGATGGCAATAACCGGTAATTTTTCTGCAGAGAAGATCCTTGCAGCGCTAGCCAACCGCTGCTCGCCGCTGCTCGCTCTCACCCCTTTCGCCGCTCGCAGGGGTGCGTGTCGTTCTTGAACGACACGGAACAGGTAGAGCTCTCCTTCCGGAAACAAGCAGCAGAGAATAGAGCTGATTGCGAAAGCGGGGTCACGTCTTGACGGCCGCGATTTCCGCACAAGAATCACGGATCGAAGAACAATCCGTGAACGATGCGCGCTGCCGAAGAATTCTCGGTAAATTGAAAATTCTCTGGTCGGTGATTTTAGTCGAATTACGTGAACGAATTACGTGTCCCGAGGAGTTTAAGAAACCGCTCCGCATCTTGGTAGCTACCGATTTTTTTTCTCGGTTTACACTTTTTTTTGTTTGTTATTTATTATCACATTATTTTTCTTTGTTAATGTAACTTTATTTAAATTTGCGATTTTGTCCGATAACAGTATTATCAAGCAATGTCCATGGCGATTAGTATTTTATTATATTTGTAAATAACGTAAATTTCTAAAAGTATAATATATGTTACGTTAATATAATACAATAAGAAATCATATACAAACTAATGCAGTGTTTTAAATCTAGGTTGCAATGTGGAATATTTCATATGCTTACAAAATATGAATACTAGTGCTCTCTTGGAGTGTTTTCGCGAACTATCTTAGTACGTTCCTCGTATGATACATGTGATTCAAATTTTATCTACTATTTTCGAGATGTTGTTCTTCTTTTTTCAAAAATTTGCAATGAGGGATTAAATTCAATGTATTTTTTGTAGTATTTTTGTATTTACAATAATTCCTTTATTTATTCTACTTAACTTTCTTTTTATTTATCTTAATTTTTTATGTTTAAATTCACAATTTTATTTTAGTAATAAAAAACTGATAAATAGTAATAAATAATTATAGTTAATGTTAATATTGCTATTATTGTATTATTATCAACACTTTTACAATTTTATTTTAATAATAAAAAATAATAAATATATGCATTTCTTAGAATCTCAAGAAATTATAAAGATCGAGAGATTAATAAACATTTTTGCAATTACAAAAAATAAATATAAAAATTGCTCTTAAACGCACACAAATTTCTTTCAATTTACTATTTTCACGATTCACAATAAATAAATCAGAATTTGTGTTCAAAATTCTCTTAGTGATTTACCCTCCTCACTCAATTAATTTTATTAATTACAGCAATAGAGAAAACAGTTTCTCTTACATGTAATCGATATGTATTAATCCGATCCTCTTTGCAATCTCATTTAGTTTACCACATTATCAGAATTCATAAAAATCAATTGTACAAATTAAAGGATTAAAGAGTTAATGAGTCATTAGGTATGCTTTGCATTTGAAAATAAAGATGATATCATATTCATCTGAATTCATTTCAATGTGTCGACCACGTTGGGGTGCGAATAATCTGACGCGACAGAATCACGCGAAGCATAAAATCCGAATTACGGTGCGATACGGCGAATCCGTATCCCAAAGTTTCCGTTCCTGCCCCGCAAATTACATCCGCCAGGTTTTGTCACAGACTGGGACTATTTAGGTCTCGCAGCTTGACACGGAAACGCTGGTTTTTAGAGGGCGGCTGGGCAACCGTTGTTAGCGATAAATAGACGAGACGTTGATAAGGTAGAAACTAATTGGATCATGAAAGTTGTCGGCAATGTTTAAAATTCATGTAGTTATTGACCTTAGAAAGAAGTTCAGAGAGCAGTACCTACAGTGATTAAGGATGTCGAGAGCTACCACGGATGGAATGTATAATACGAGCATATACCGTGGCGACTGCGGACACATGACCAAGCATAATAAACTTCAATCACGTGGATAAGTTGTTGATGACTTTAATGGGATTTGTCATAATCTTTTGCGAACAACATTGCTACATAAAATATTATAATTAATGGTTTATATGTGCACGTAAGATATTTCGATTCCTGTTACGTGAACTATTGTTTATACCAGGTGTATGCATAAGTTTTTTCCGGTTTTTTGGTAAAAAAAAAACACGTAATTTTCAAGGGAAATTAATTTTTTTTATTCAAAATATTGGCCATCGGCTTCTACACATTTCACCCATCTTTCAGGTAATTTCTGAATACCATGCCAGAAAAACTGCTTGTCTTTTGCGGCAAACCATTCGTCGAGCCATTTTCCAACTTCCTCGAAATTGCTGAAGTGCTGCT